ACGGATTCGTAATCAGGGACCCCGAAAACCTCTGAGTAACGAGTTTCAAGTGAATTTGATTAATTTCAGAAAAGTTTGTCAAATTTGATTTTGTTGTATTTTTTTGTCAAAGTACCTAACTTTAAAGTGAAATTGTGAAAAAAGTAATGCAGCTAGAAACCTGCAGTTTAATGCATTGGAAAGAGCGGCCTATTTACTTTAAGAATCAATAAAAAAATGAAAATCGTTTTTTTCGGACCGTAGGTCCTTTTAACTGTCCGTGACACATATGATTAAAACTTATATTAATGCAATATAATTTAAATGTGCAAATCGACCACAATAACTTAACGCAAATGCTAATCAACTAGCAAAGCAATCAAAGATTAATGTTAGCGTAGAATCTTTTTATAAATCAAAACTACTTCCAATACCAGACCTTCACAATGCCAGTGCTAACTGATTTAATATTGATTTATTATTGATTTAATATTGATTCATTATTGATTTATTATTGATTCATTATTGATTCATTAATGATTCATTATTGATTTATCATTGATTCATAGTTGATTCAGTATTGATTTAATCTTAATTAAATTTGGCCGTGTGAAGGTCTGCTGCTGGAAGTAGTTTTGATTTATAGAGAGGTTCTACGCTAACATTAATCTTTGATTGATTTGCTAGTTGATTGACATTTGCGTTAAGTTACTGGGGGTGATTTGCGAATAATAGATTATACATTTCTTTTATCTTCCCAAGTATTGTGAGAATTATCAAAGCCAAGCCATTTGACAAGAACTTTGTTTCCACGTGTCTTGAGAATTTTTTCTACAAGATAAATATCTGAATATTCTACTTTAAGAAGTTCCTCTTCATAGAATCCTCCACTGATGGGTTGGTCCTGGTAATACTTAAGCTTGTAAGTCAATGGTTGAGTTGATACAACTTGATCCACTGTGAATATTTCTGTTGTCCAATTGGGTGTGTATCCTTTCTCAAAAACGTTTTTATATTTGCTTACTCGAACCTTGTCGCTAATTTTATACTTTGGTCGTCTCAAAGGAATTTTTCTCAGCTTCAGGAATCGTTCTTTTAAAATTTCAACGTCTTCTGAAGTAACATCTTTAGGCTTCATTTCAATTGTTCTGTTTTGTATCATTGTATTTGAATATAAGAGTAGGTAATATATCATACCACTCGTAATTTCTTCGTAAACTAAATTGCATCCACATTTTTCTTTTGAGTGTTCGATTAAACTGTTCAACAATAGAAGCCTTCATATTACTGTATGTTGAATACAAATTTATATTATGCTTTTTCATTAATGCTTCAAATTGTGAGTTATAGAATTTTTTTCCTTTGTCACTATGCACGTTTTTTGGTATGCGTTTTTTTTAGCAAATATAGAGTGCATTGCATAAGAAACATCTTTTCCACTTTTACTCTTTACTGGAGCAGCCTAAGCATATTTCAAAAATATGTCTATAACTGTTAGTAAATACTTGAAACCTTTTTTTGAATAAGGTATCATTTCTACTAAATCTGCTTGCCATGTCTCATCAATATCGCGCATTTCAACTCGCCGTCGAGGATAATTTTTTCTAGCCTGGGTATGAAGTTCATTCACAACTGTTATTTTATTGTTGTTCATTCTCGAGAGCACTTAAGCGGGTATCCAGTTCACTAATTGTTTCAGTTGTTCGATAAGATAAGTCGATGTTGGCGATCGACTTTTTTCGACTTCAGCATTCTTTGAAGTAGATTTTTAAATAACAAAAAACATAACCTACAAACGTGAAACCGGCGCTATAGATATATTGTGAATTAAATTTATATAGCGAATTAAATTTAAAAATGCCTCCTAGTGCGGTGTGGTTATACTTTACAAAAATAAACAACGGGACTAAAGTTGAGTGCCAGGAGTGTAAAAAACAACTTAGCTACACTACCGTTCATAAGTATCAGGACGATTACACGCGACTTTATGAAAGAACATTTTTCTAAAAACACATAAATCTTCGTTAGAATTTCAGCTTTAAAATAAGATTTTAAAAAAGGTTAATCCGTCTTCGATATATCATTAAAAAAGTGAAGCCGAGTTTCGACCCATTGGAGCATTGAAATTCAACTGTGACGCCTAGATTCTCGCTCCTCAAGGCTGCGAATAAGAGAGAAAGCAGGGACGAATTCATGCGGGGGAACGATGAACTTTCGAATTTCTTTATATTATTCGTAAAACATTTATTATTCCCTAGTATAAATCCGTCCCTGTTTTCTCTCCCAATCACAGCCGCGCGAAGCTAGAATCGAGTCGTCATAGTTGACTTTCAATGCACCGATCCGTCGCAAACGGCTTTACCCTTTTAATAATAAATCGAAGATGGATTAACCTTTTTTAATTTTCGAAAACTTTTTTTAAACATGAAATTCTAACGAAGATTTCTGTGTTTTTAAAAAAATGTTATCTAAGTTTTTCTAGATTTTTGAAAAAGTTGAAATCAAGAGACGAAAGTGAGAAAATTTGATCATTTTTTTCATTTTTTCCTCACTTTACAAAAAGTTAACGAAATGACTGCATAGATGGCATATTTTACGCAAAATTTAATCAACTTTCTAACCGTATTTATGTTTTTTGTATCTCCTTTTATTTCAGAGATATGATTGAAAAAATGATGGCATGTTTTTTCATAGAGTCGCGTGTAATCGTCCTGATACTCGTGGATGGTAGTGTACAATAAAAGCACATCTTCTTTATCAAATCATCCTTTGTCTGTCCACGCAATTAGTACTAATACTAATAAACAGCCGAAGAAAAGAGTAAGAAATCCTTACTTTTATGAGCCTCTTGACTATAATGAAATGTCAAATGATGAAAATCAATTACAGGTAAGAATAATTTTTTTTTCACAATACAGATTATGTTTTTTTAAATGATGACGATTTTTCTCTAAATGTACAACATTGTAAAAGTAACTGAGAAGCAATTTTTCTTAAAGTTGATAAATCCATTTTAAAAAAATTAAAAAAACACATATAATTAAAATATTAAAATCCTTAGAAATCGACTTATCACTGTTCAATTTAGGCAAAAAAATTTATTACGAAAGAATTTTCAATTTAAAAAATATTTTGGTCTAACCTTGATGATTTTTAATTTCGATCTTTTTATTAGAAAAAATTACCAAAACCTTTAAATTACCTATTACAATAGAATTTAATTTCAAACAGAACGTTTTAAATAGAAAAAATTTTAAAAAATGAATAATTTATTTTAATTTTTATACATTAAAGTTAATTTTTAATGGTTATGTAAGAATTGTCATTTGTTTAAATTTCTCGAAATGACAAAATTTGGATTTATCAGGTTTTGAAAACTTACTCCTAAACTGCTTTTTCACAAAACTTTATTATTTTTCTTTTATCACAAATGCTTTAAAATTTAGGCTAAACGTTCTAAAACAACAAATGAAATCTCCGAAAGCTCTCAAAACGAGGTTACAAGACCTTCTACCTCTGTTTTCTTAGTCTCTTCCTCTAGTAAAGAGTTTCAACGGGGCCCAATGGATGTTTATTTTGACAACGTCGCATCATTTTCTGGTTTTTAATCCTTTCTTTATTAATCCTCTGTCTACTAATTATCCATTTCAAATATGAAGAAAAACTTAATCTTATATTTTATTTTAAATCAATTTTTTTCGTAACTGGAGGAGCAAGGAAAGTACCATCAGAACCTACAGTGACAAAAAAAATAAATTTAAAGTACAAAACATTAAAAAAAACACGTACTAGGAAAATTTTCTTTATCTGATTCTGTCTGCCTGACCACTGACATTTGGACCCAAAAAATTACAATGTGCAGTTACCTTGGCGTTACAGGTCATTATCGTTAAGGTAAATATTCGACATTTATTTTTAATAATTTTGTTAGAAATGTTTGATTTTATTAGTATACATTTAATTTTTTATGTTACAGGAGTTGAAATACGATCTGTTGAAATTGGGGCTAAAGTTTTAAAAGATAGAAAAAACATTCCAAATTTACGAGTGGCCTTACGTGAAATCTGTAACGACTGGGGTCTTATTGATAATCAAATTTCAGCTATTGTCAGCGATGGAGAAAAGGAATATTAAGAGTGCCATTAAGGGGTTACGTACACTTAAGATTTTCAAAAAATCGATTTTTTTAAAAATGCATTTTCTAAAAATATACCATTTCAAAAGTATTCTTTGAAAATTGGAGACAAATCTGACTATTATTTATGGAGATATAGAATTTTGAGTGGAGCCATCTTAGCCGTTACTGTGGTCAGGTGGCGGTATTCAAAACTTTGAACTCGTTTTTCTCAAAACCATGTTTTGGGAGTCGGTGATCACTGTAACTTGAGAACGGCTTTACCGATTGGTTTGAAATTTTTACCACTTATTTGTTATATAATTGGCCGGTACTTGAACGAAGGGTTTTTTTTACAATAATTTTTTTTGTAAAGTCGAAAATGTGAGTAAAAATTTGGTCAAAAAACAATTTTTGACTTTCAACATCTGTCTTTTTTCGAAAAATCAAAATTTTTCAAATCCCTTCGTTCAAGTACCGCATTATATCATTACCTAACGATTTATTCTTCACGATTTGATTTTAGAAAATTTATTTATTTTTATTTAAGGAGCTCACGCAAATGTTCTATCATTCGCATATTTCTTTATATTTATGGACTATAATTTCAGAAAATTTTCTTGAAATATATATATATATATTTTATGTGAAAAAAGATTTGTTATTAATTATTTTAATGTGTGGCCACAAAGAATTCCTAAAAAACAGCTTTTTTTGTGTAGCACATGTTCTTAATGGTATTGCACAAGATTCCATCGGACTACATAAAAATAATATTCCATCTGAAGTAGAAAATTTGTACTATGTCGACGACTTGGAATCAGATAACATTGATTTGATCGAAGATAACCCTGGTTGTAAGCGAAAAAAATGTTACTATCAGTTGTAACGTTATATTTACGTTATCGTCCTATTATTGTTCGCCATTATTACTCAGATTGAATATATCGTAAGTTTTAATATAATTTCAAATTGTAATTCGCGCCTTAGCGCCAAACTTTAACACCAGGCGTCGCGCACGTCATAAATAGCAGACGACAAAAGCACATGTTGCTTTTGCCAGCAAGAAACACTAGATTGGTGTGAACCGCGTACATGAAAACATGCCATTGCGCATTAATTCTTAGTCTATTTATCTAATTATATTTCACTTCCTTGTTCGAAGATATAACACGTAGTACCGCAACTTGTTGCCAGGTGACGCCACTTTTTAGAGACAGATAGAAAAAAGGTTGCCCTTCTGTCTCGTCTGTCCCGTGCTTGTTGTTTTCTTCATTCGTTTCTTGGCGCTGGTTGACGACGCTTTAAAAATGAGTGCTTTAGAACAAAAGAGAGGAGAATTGCAGATTCTAGAACATTGCATGAACAAGGTGTATGCAGAAATCGACACACTAGAGAAGGAAGAAGCAGAGTCACACACAATATCGGAAGGTAAAAATCAGCTTCCCGTTCTTTTATTTTTCTGTTACAGTTTCGAGACAAATTTCATTCCCCCCTCTCCGCCATATTAGTCACAGGTCGAGTCTCAAATATAAAGTTGAGATCACGAACCTTTTATTATCAATAAGTCGATTCTTAGACCGTTGAGTCAAGAACAAGGACTAAGCAAAAATAAATTAATAAAATTTAATTAAAAAAAAAAACAAAAAAACAAAAAAAACAAAAAAAAACAAACAAACAAATTATCAATTTTAGATTCTCCTGGGCCAGAGGAAGAAAAGATGGCGGATGATGAGGAAATTTCGGAACACGAGGAAAAAACTTTCGAACTGGAGGAAGAAATTCTTGACCACGAGGCGGAAACCGTTAGATTTCTTGGCACAGATCCAGCTGGGTTGACTAACCAGGAATTAAAATTAAACGAAGATATCGCTTTGAGGATTAAATCCTGGATCAATAAAGGGTTAAGAGAGAAAGATGAAAAAAAAACTGTAAAAAAATTGTATTCACGGTTGACGCGTTTTGACTTAGCTGCTTAAGCCGTGCGAATTGTTGGTAAGGGCTATTTTTCTTGTTTTGAGTAAATATTGAATAAATATAATAATATTTGGTCAGCAGTAGATTGAAAACAGTAGATCGTCTAGAGTTTAAGATCTTAACGAATATCCAATTGAATTACAGCACTATATAAGTGCGGATCTAATGCCAAGACGTTCGACTCCAAATCCATTTGTTGCATGGGAAAATTTAAAAACTGAATTTATTAACCTACATACTGTGGCGATGACGTTTTTACCAATAATGGCTACATCGGTTCCGTGTGAGCGACTGTTTTCAAACGCAGGGCTCATTTCAAATCAGGTCCGAAATAGATTGTCATCGAAAAATTTAGATAGATTAATATTTCTAGGAAGCATACACGGAAAAAGTTCCGGCAGGTCAGATGTACAGGTTGTGTAAAATTTTCTTCTACATTTATTTTGCACGCCATCTGTGCCAATTTGGATTATCTGACGTGCATTATGTACGTCTGATATCTCGAAATGGCACCTCAGACGTGCAAAATGAAATGTACTGCTGTTGACACTGTCCTCGGCGCATCTAATGTCCCGGAATTTTTTCCGTGTAGATACTGACATGTGGTTTAAGTAAATGCGTTTACTTTTTAATTTTACCTTTTAAAAAAAACTTATTTCTTTATTTTATAACACTTATTAATTACTTTAAATAAGAATTTCGACTTATTAAATGATAAAAAATATTGTAATAAATGTTCTAATAAATTATAATAATAACAAAATCTGAATTGCAATAAATAATTAACTTCATACATAAGACTTGTAACTTTTTTTAAAACCATTTTCCTATTAATTAAAATTTTATTATAAAGTCCAATGTCAATTTTTATTTTATCTTATAAAGAAACCATGAAGAATAGTCAATTATTATGAATTATCTTGTAATTAACTATTGATACTTTATCAGTGCCGATTTTTCAAATAATTCGAAGTTTCTAAAAAATTTGAACAAAGTTGACTTTTGAAAAAGTCGACTTTTGATAGTCGAAAAAAGTCGATAGATTCAAAGTCGACAGTCGACTTTTTGTTTCTCTTTTCCATACCTAAAGTAAGGCACTAGCTTCATGCAATTAACGCACTTCGTGTTTTATCATACCTTGTACAAGTTTTCAATTGACATCGTCGTTTTCTTCTTTAGCGTTAGGAAGATTACAGAGTTTTCTTCCTTCAACGTCGAAGTTCCCTTGAGAATTGGATTTAAAACCAACTCCAGAAGGCCCTCGTCTTGCTGTTTCTCTTTGATAGAGAGGGTGTCCAAACCCATCAATGCTCATTATTGAAATGAATGATATTTGCTATAACACATCTTAATATATAATTGTGGCTTCATTTAGTTTCTCAATAATAGACATGATTTTATTATTGTGACTAGTATTTATAGCAGCTTGAGAAGGCATTAATAGTATAAGACGGTTAACCCCTTCGCAGTCAACACCAAAATCTCATAAGTGGGCTCAAAATGTCGACACTAAAATTTGCGCAAACGAGATCCAATGTGGCGGACAAGAAAATTAAAAATCGACTGAATTTACTTGAAACTTGTTACTCAAGGGTTTTTGAGGTCGCTGATTACAAATCCGATATCAGATTTTGAAAATTCAAAATGGCGGATCTAATATGGCGGATACCATTTTTTAAAATTCATCGGATTCACTTGAAACTTTTTACTCGGGGGTTTTCAGGGTCGCTGATTACCAAACCGATTTCAGATTTTAAAAATTCAAAATGGCAGATCCAATATAGCAGACGAAATTTTCTAATATTCATTGGATTCATTTGAAACTCGTTACTAGAGGGTTTTCGCTGATTACGAAAAACTTTTGAAACGATAATAAATACAAAATTTTCCCCTGCAGTCAGCTGTTTAGTATTTTTTTTATTTTGTTTATACACCTGTCTTCAGCCTTACATACTTGGCTATACAAGTGTCTCTTTACAAATTTTGTTTTTACAATATTTCTTATATACATTTTCTTAATACTAAATTTTGCGCCTACAGAGCGACTTGAAAATAAGGAGTACTCGCATTTGGCTGGACCACCCGCCTAATAGGTTTTCTCGCCAGTGGAGAGGGAAACTGTAGAAAACCTCTCCTGGGTACAACCGGTTTATCGACAGTCGAATTCTAATGGTGTAACCGGACAATAATCGACGGTGCACATCATTATACTTCGACGTCAAACCTCCCGCTCAGATTGTCTCACGTGCCGGAAAAATACCAAGCCAAATGGGCGCGAACCAAGGGTACTTACCATTGGTCCTTAAACGACCGCCAAGCGAGGCATCTATCCGACTGAGCCAATCTGTCGGTCTACGTTACTACTCCTTTATTTATTTTGTTTTTTAATATTTTTTTTGTTTGTTCTTATATTGGATCTGACATTTTTTAAACCGATATTACATTTTTAATCTACGACATCAATAAATCCTAAGTAACAACTTTTAAGTAAATCTGATAAATTTTTTAAAATGGCGCCAGCCATATTCGAACCGCCACATTGTATTTTAGAAATCTGATGCTAGATTCGTAATCAGCGACCCCAAAAACAGCAGAGTAACGAGTTTTAAATGAATCGGACGAGTTTTTAAAAATGTCGTCCGCTATATTGGATCCGCCATTTTGAATTTTTAAAATCTGAAATCGGATTCGTAATCAGCGATCCTAAAAACCCCCAAGTAAAAAGTTTCAAGTGAATCTGATGAATTTTAGTAAATGTCGTCCGCTATTTTGGATCCGCCATTTTGAATTTTTAAAATCTGAAATCGGTTTCGTAATCAGCGACCCCGAAAACCCCTGAGTAACAAGTTAGAAGTGCGTCCGATGAATTTTTGAAAATGTCTGCCATATTGGATCCGCCATTTTGAATTTTCAAATTCTGATATCGGATTTGTAATCAGCTACCCCTAAAACCGCTGAGTAACAAGTTTTAAGTGATTCCGATGAATTTTTAAAAATGTCGTCTGCCATATTGGATCCGCCATTTTGAATTTTAAAAATCTGCAAACGGATTCGTAATAAACGACCCCGAAAACCCCCGAGTATCAATTTGTGGACAAATCTGTGTGTTTTTGTAGCCAAAAATCTGCTTGCGTCTATACACGTCATCGACAGTTTGAGCCCACCTGCACCATGACGTGTATACACGTCATCGACTGCCAAGGGGTTAACCAACACATTTGGATCATCCTAATAGATATATTCTCGTTAAAATTTTTGGTTGTAATAATAAAAGGTAATGAACTACAACTTACAGATGCCTGTTTGGTAGGTGTTCGAGAGAAGAATTGAGATATAAAATTCAAATACTTTTAGCTCTTATCCGTACGTATAGATTCAGAGGAACTATACTTCTTTTTGTGTGCATTACTAGCAATAAGAATCTCTTTATAGCTCCTTTAATAATCTTCACTTAAAAGTGATCTGGTATTTTTACTTTTAAATGAAAGTTCAAGTAATCCAGGTGTTTGCAGATATCGTTTATCACCAATTTTAACAAACTGATCTTCAAGAGATATTGGTGAATCACCAATCATAAGTGACCCATCATTGAGCTCACGTACCCCATATGTTGAATGTAAACATTGCTTTCTATTATGATTTAACAAGTATAGAAGTTTATTACTTATTTTATCATCAGTCGGAGATTTTTCAGTTTCACTAAAAACATTTAAAGGATGATGTTATATTTATAGTGTTACAAAGCTATCAAATCCTTTTCTATATCTTCCATCATTTTAATTAGAGTCCCTATCAATTACTACAAAGCCATACTTGTCTGAATTCCAAAATGTTGAACATAGATAGTTCTCGAAATTGATTAAATATCATGTCAGTATTAACGTGGTCATCATGAACAGGCCTTAAATTTTTCTCATCTTGACAAAAAAGAACGAGTAAATTAACATTATCACGTACTAAATGTTTAGGAATGCGGGCATGCGTTTGACAAAGATAAAAACAATCAACATGCCTACCCATACAAAAGAATGCCTTTACATTATCTTGCTTCTCACAAGCAATGTCATCAAATATAAATATTGAATTCCGTTTTCCATCTTTAGGAGTGATGACTTTTTCATGCTCACTGAACGGTAAGTACTCTAATCCATCAACATTAAAGAAAGCAGTACATTTGTCTTTCCACAATTTGCTGTTCCACAAAAAATAGCTCGAATACTACTTGATAATAACAAGCTACCATGACGTTTCACTTTCTTCTCTTGTTGTTGAACAATCTGTGACTTAACTGTCACAGAGTAAGTAATGATTATACATCATCGCTCTTGAGGAAAAGGTTTATTTAACAAGCATATAAACAAGTTACCATTTGAACTACATTTGCCAGGTTATCAAATTGTGGACCAGGCACAAAGTTAGCAAAACGTCTAGCACGAGGTGATCCAGGTGTTAATCCATTAGACGCCGCTTGTAAAGAGCACGATATTGTATACTCCAAAAATCGAGAAGACGTTGAAGCAAGAAACAATAACAAACGCTATGAAAGCAAAATCAAAATTTGGAATGAGAGTAAAGAAGAAGACGAAATCAAAAAATCGAGTAAATCTAAGGAAAATTGTGGATGCTGCCAGAAAATCAATAATTCCTGGTAATGATACACGTTCAACAATAAAGTCAGCTATTGATACAGCTAGAAAAGCTGTAAGGAAAGCAGCTGGTAGAGAAAAAGTTTTAACACCTCGTATTCTATTTGTTCCATCAAAAGTTTGTGGTAGCCATTAACTCCAATTTTTGTTGGGCTAAGTGCACTTAGGACTTCATTTAAAACCCTATGTTAAAAGACAAGGTATTAAAAGACGATGTAAAAAAAAGTTTAAAGCTACCTCAACGAGCACTTTCTGATCTAGATTTACTTAAATATGCTAAAGAAATGAAAATTCCTCATTTTCGAGGTGTTTTCATGCGAAATGAACTACCTATAAGAGGACCTCGAAAAAATGAATCAGCCATTATTAATTTAGATGATAAAGATGGTTCTGGAATTAATTGGGTTGCATATACAAAAGTTAATTACAAAGTAGTATATTTTGACAGTTTTGGTAATCTTCAACCACCCTATGAACTTGTCAATTAGATTACAATACTTTAATACAGTATAATCATCAAAATTATCAAGATTATAATAGCTTTAAATGTGGTCATTTATGTCTGAAATTCTTATGCGGACGACTCGAAACAACTCCAAAATATATTCTATATAAATGATAGTAAG